ATCCGCATAACAATGAAAAGAGAACCCTCCTTAGAATTGATCCCAGTGAAAGCATGTACAGGGAAAAGAGAGTTGGGCCGAGTACAGACCCCTGGGGGACACCACAGGAGAGGATAGTTGAGGAGGAGAAACAGTTACCAATATTAACAGAAAAACTTCTATTCATGAGGTAAGATTTAAACCAATTAAAAAGAGTACCATGAATTCCAATACGCTGTTCCAGGCGAAATATGAGGATTTCATTATCCACTTTATCAAAGGCAGCAGAGAGATCTAAAAGCACCAACAGAACTAGATCCCCAGAGTCCCTGGCCAACAAAATTTCATTATTAATTTTTAATAGCGCAGACTCAGTACTGTATTTTGATTTAAACCCAGACTGGAATTGCTCCTCAATGCCATTATCTGTGAGAAAAGACTGGAGCTGAATAAAAACAATCTTCTCTAAAGCTTTCAACACAAAAGATAATTTGGTCTAAGCCAGTGACTTCTGTGCCGGTACCAATCCCGGATAAATAGACAGGGTTGCATCAGGAAGGGCATCCGGCGTAAAGTGAGCGGAAAAGAGAGGCGGACCCAGGCAGCTGACTTCAGTGCAAGCAGTGATTTAATAATACAGTGTAGTTTAGTGACAATAACAAGTGCGTGGATGATAGTGGAACAGAGTAACCGAGTGTCGACCAGCAGCAGGAGTAGAGGGATGATGAGTTGAATGAGGTGGGCCGAGTTGCGTTGCGGGGTCACTCCTGGGCTGGTCGATGAGTGATGGTAGCTACTGGCAAAACACAAACAGAGAGGAGAAAAAACAGTCCAAGAGGGGGAACAAAGGAACCGGCTAGAGGAGGTGAAACATGGTAATCCTAGGCATAAACAACGGGGTAACTGGTGTCGTGGCTAGAGTGTGATGCTGACTAAATTAATTCAGACAAACCATCCCAATTTAAGTGATCATTTAATATTACAATTATCCTGAACAGAGTAGCAGTTGAATAGACAATCTGATAGTTAGGGAACAGAGAACAGAGACTCTCCTCCTGCAATGTGATAGGTAAAGTATTAAATAAGAAGAGTGTCAAAAGCGTCAGTCAGTCCTGGTTACAAGGTCCAGTCAGTCAGTTGTTGTCACGAGGTACCGTCAGTCTTAGTCAGCAGTCAGTCAGTCTTAATTCAGCATCCCCCCAGCCGGCTGGGTTCCCCACAAAGTATACTCTCCCTGTCACAGTAGCATTGTCATCCTCTCTTTCTCCTTCTTCTGCTCTAACCCAGCTTTTTATCTGCTCGCACTTACACAGCCCCCCATGCCAGCTACGAACACACACCTTCTTCCAAGCATTGTCTAAGAATGTCCAGTACATGAACTTCTAGGTCGCATTGACCTAGCGCACATTTCCTTTTTCTAAACCTGAACAGAGCACACGAACAGTTCACTTAAGGCTGCAGCTACAATATATCCATTCCCTATCTGAGGAGGAAGTCACTCGGGATGTTGACCCATAGGTTAAACAAGGGGGACACAGCCCAACATATTCTTGCCTGAGCCCGAAACAGATCAAGCTTCCATACACACTTAGCTCAGCCTTACATCCTTACACAACTATTACATATAATATCTAAATACGAACTACATACTGTTCTATTACATATTATCTCTGGAACCTTGTTTATTTTCAAACACTACACTGGCAATACACAAAAATACCAAAATGAAGAATAATCATGTAGGGAGATGAAGAGACGGCCTGAGAATGTGAACAAACTGGCAGCGAGTGAAAAGTGAGCAGGGTATAAATAAGGTGGGGGACTGGGTGAATGCAGCTGGTGATAATTAGGGAAACAGGTGGCAGGTGTGTGAGGTGGAGTGAGCTAAGACAGAAGTGATAAAAGGCAGGTGTAGCCAAGCAAACCTGACAGAGGTCAAGAAGGTGCAGGAGTTTAAGTATTTGGGGTCAACAGTCCAGTGTGATGGGGAGTGTAGGAAAGAGGTAAAGAGGTGAGTGCAGGCAGGTTGGAGTGGGTGGAGAAAGGTGTCAGGACTGTTGGAGATGGAGCTGCCAGGCAAGAGGTTGTTAGGTTATTTCCTAGTTAGATAGATATTCAGAGATTTGTTGTCTAGAAATGTTTAGTGCAGACAGATTGACTAGCTCAGGCTGTTAACTGTTCAGTAAATGTGCCTGCAGTGCAGACTGCAGGCAGGTCAAGGTTACAGGCAAAGCCTCGAGTAGCATGGGCTAGCCCAAAATGATTAAGATTATATAGGTTTGGTGGTCCAGGTTTCTTGATCTTTTCTGCTGCTTGCGCGCAGGTAGAGAATGAAAGAGATCTGGACGTGTAATGTGAATTTTACCTGTGATCCTCTGAATAAACCAGCACGGTTATTTTTTATAAAATCTAAAGCAGTCTACTTCGTCTCATTGAGAGTTCCTGGTTTAAAAGAACCGGAAGAAGCTACAGAGAAATAGTAGCTTATAAGGTGAAGAGGAAGGCCAAAGAGGAGATATATGGATGTGCTAAAAGAGGACATGAAGTTAATTGGGGTGAGAGTAGAGGATGCCGAGGATAGAGTTAGGTGGAAACAGATGATTCACTGTGGCGACCCCTAATGAGAACAGCCGAAAAAAGAAGAAGAAGAAGTCTAAGACCAAACCCGGCGATGAGAGATTTGTCCCGAGTGTTCAGCTGAAGACCATCTCGGAACTCCGGATCCAGCTTGACTCTGGCCCAGAGAGCCTCCAAACCAGTGCTTCTCTCCATGTATGGCCAGGAGGCCACATGGAATCTCCAAAGATAATGGTTAACTCCTGCTAACAGATAAATGCACTCTGGATAACTGTCTCAAGAAAACCATAGTTAATAGCTATTAGTGTCAGGGACAGCATGTAGAGCTGCCAATAATGTCAATGATGAACTCAATTATGAGGCCAGACAAGGATAAGCATAACACTGTCTTTGTAATCAGAGCACTGGTCAGAAACACACGATAAACATTGCAGGAGTCTGATTCAACATGTAACTCTCTCAGGTCGATAATCCAGTCCAGGGTCAGAACCAGCAAACTCGCACATCCAAGGTATCCATGAGAAGAACGGTCAATAGTGGAAGTCCATAAGTCGGTGCACAGAATCCAAACAGAATCCGAAGGGTTAGGCAGTACTCAGTGGTCACAAGGCAATTCGGGGTCAGAGCTTGAATAACAGGTACTAGAAAAACCGCTGGAGAGTCTGAACATGAATTAGAACAATCTGGCAGCTTCCCGGTGGGAGGAAGCTGCCTATGATGGGAGTGAAAACAGGTGCAAGCAATTTACACTGATTTGGGTAAAGAGTCCGTAGCTGAGATGAGACTGTAACAGGAAGTAATGTCAGAATAAAAGCATAAGACTGGAAGCAGTGCAGCAGAATCATGACAATTAGTTACCAAAATAAGTCTAACCTTTAGCAAGCGACAGTTATTTTTCCTCTCCATATTCATGATTAAACCCCAGAATTTAGATCTAAAATCAAGCTCAATTTTTGACCAGAATAACCATGTTCCACCATCGCTAACAACAGACTGATCATTCATTCATCAAAACATTCACAAAAAACTGTTTGCATTACATCTTTCCTCCCAATCATTTCCTTGTGTACATATTGTAAATAACTTTATTTAGCTTATAACTGGCTTCATTATGTCATCTTTCGGTCTCATATTTTTTAGTAAATAGGTCCCTTGAACTGGGTGGGTTCACTGGTTTCAGAATTAGACTGACTTAATTACTCTAATTGTTCAATATTTGATGGAACTATAACCATGTGGTGTCCTAATCTAACTAGGTATTTGAGTATTAAATATTGATATTCATTTTCATAAGTGTAGTCATTTCTGCTACAGCAGCATGTTCACCCTGAGTGTGTTTTTAGACTCATTTGTTCCGCAGCAGATAGAAATCCATTATTTCAAATGTCTCCCCGACATGCGTCAGCCACATCATCCCTGGACCGGGTGTTTTTTTCCCCACTTCAGGTCTATGTATTTCCTCAGGTGCATTCAGTGAAGTGTAATCTCCACATCAATCTCCTGTTATTTTCTGTTGCAATGGTTTTTACTGTCATCTGTTATGACTATGGCTCTGTTCAGACTCCTGATGTAACTTTGACCTTTAGGTTTCAGCAAAATCAACCAATGAATCCATACTGTACATTAAAATGTGTTGATTTCTTCCAGATAACCCTACATAAATACTGTTTTTGTCCAGGACATTTCTGCATTTGGACATGCAGCTTAGGTTGGTTGGTGACTCTAAATTGCCTGTAGGAATGAATACGATTGTGTGTGGTTGTTTGTCTACATGTCAGCCCTGTGGTAGACTGGCAACCTGTCCAGGGTGGACCCCGCCTCTCACCCAGTGTCAGCTGTGATTGGCTCCAGCCCCTTGTGACCTATTCGAGATAAGTGGTATAGATAATGGATGGACAGGTAGTGCAGACTATTCCTCCAGCAAAGAGCAACTGAAAAGAATCATCGGTAAAGATTGGCTGAACATCTCTCTCCAGACTTGTGTTTGACTGTTTCCAACCATGCGCAGGATGATCCAGCATGTCTTTATAAAGAGTAAAATGTTTCCTCAATAGAAAGATGAAAGAAACTGATTTTCACTTTGTTCAAAGCATAGGTTTGTACTTCTTTTCAGACATCAAATAGAAATCAGTACCAGTCACTGATTCCATTACTAATGTCATCAGTGTGTTGCTGTAAACACCCTGTCTTGAAAAGGTTAAAAGAATCAGAGGCAGAGTTTCAGCCCATTGAGGAGGTACTTGCCATCAGACAGAGCAGGTGATTGTCAGGATTCACGTCATAATCTGTGTTGTGTACTGTCCCCCTTTAGTTTTATACAGTACAGTTAGGGAATGTTAAGGTTGGAGATAGAATGATCATGGAAAATACTACACAGATCTCATATTTCATACTAAGTGCCTACTTTGACACTGGGATTTTCAAATATTTATACTTTATTATTATTATGTCTTTATATATTTTAATTGTGTGTACTAACGCCTTGCTCATTGTTGTTATCTGTATGAACAGAAGTTTACATGAACCTATGTACATGTTTCTGTGCAGTCTGTTTGTCAATGAAATGTTTGGTAGTACAGGGTTGTTTCCATTCCTCCTGCTTCAGATCCTCTCTGACATTCACACTGTTTCTGTTCCCTGTTGTTTCCTGCAGATTTTCTGTGTGTACTCTTATGGAAGTGTAGAATTTACTAATTTAGCCGTCATGGCCTACGACAGATATGTTGCTATATGTTTTCCTCTACAGTACAACACATGGATGACATCTAACAAGGTTGCGATGCTTACTGTTATAACATGGTTGTTCCCCATTCTTGCAATTGTTGTTTTGATATCACTGAGTGCCTCTTTACAGCTGTGTGGGAAGATCATTAACAAAGTTTATTGTGGAAACTATGCCATAGTTAAACTGGCCTGCTCTGACACAACAGTCCATAATGTTTTAGGACTCATTTACACAACAGTCTCAGTCATCATTCCTCTTATTTTAATCCTTTACACGTACATCAGGATCCTTAAAGTGTGTTTTTCTGGCTCTACACAGACCAGACAGAAAGCTGTCAGTACCTGCTCACCTCACCTTGCTTCTCTGCTGAACTTTAGTTTTGGTGGTTGTTTCCAAATATTACAGAGCAGGTTTGACACAAGCAGCGTACCTAATATGTTGGGTATTTTATTATCATTATACTTTCTAACATGCCAGCCTCTCTTTACTCCTGTATTATACGGCCTAAAAATGACCAAAATCTGCATCATATGTAAACGTTTGTTGCGTGGTGAAGTGTAGGTCAGGTTTATGGATATGAACAAGCAATAACTGAATTTCTCCCCTGGCTTCAACTCAGTACACTCATGTACAGTATAACCAAAATTAAATAATTCAAATTATCATCTTACAATAACTGTGTAAATTTTAAGTTGAAGTGCAGGCTCTGGACACAAAATGTGTATGACTGGTGCTAAGATAGTCAATGCTACTCTACTTTTGGCTGTTCCCTTTAGGGGTCACCACAGCAAATCTGATTCATGAGTAAATATGGCAGATTTTATTTTTCTTTACGCCAAATGCCCTTCCTGACACAATCCTCTCTATTTATCCGGGCTTGGGACTGGCACAGAATTCACTGGTGTGAAACCCCTGTGGCTAGATACACACTCACTCCTACAGACAATTTAGAGTCTCCAATCAACCTAAGCTGCCTATCCTTGGACTGTGGGAGGAAGCCGGAGTACCGGGAGAGAGCATACAGACTCCACACAGAAAGGCTCGAGCCCGAAACCTTCTAGCTGTGAGGCAAGAGCGCTAACCACCGTGCCGCTGCACCCCCCATTGCTAAGATATTAACATTTGCTGAATTAAGACTAATTTTTCTACAAGTGATGAAAAACAAATCTGTCTAGAATGAAAGTTGTGGCCATGAGAGCAAGTTTCAGAGAAAGTATTGAGGCAAGTTTAACTGCATCTCCCACTCCAGTTTCTGAGCATTCTATCAATTCATTTCTAAATGGAAAAATCTGACAAAAACTTCAGTATTTCAGAAATTATAAAAGATATCGCTGATAAAAGTAGACCCAAAAAATGCCCTCATCGGGCTGCACAACTCGGTGTTTGAATGTGTCTATATCAAATGGTGTAGGAGGCTACTGAAACAGCTTAAGTGTAACCGAGCTGCTGCTCAAGGTGGAAATACCTGTTAATTAAATTGCACTGATGTATTACATTTGTATGAAGCAGCATGTCAAGGAAGATGAATATATATAAACGTGAGAAAGAAATCAAGGTTGCAAAATGTTAGGCAGGCCATGAAAGGAAGTTGTTGTGTGAGGAGTTAAATGGCTTTAACGGTACAGAGAAGGAGGTGAAGTATCCTTGACGTCACCCAAGATAAACTATTATAACAGCCTAGGTAATGCAATGAAATATTTATCATATAAGCATCAACAGCCTTGTGTAGCCAGACTATAAATATCTGGGTCAAACTGGG